AGAGAAGGAAAGCAAGTCACGTCACAAATTAGCATTTCTAAAATGTTAGGGTGGATTAATAAAAGTGCAAAAAGACAGCGGTTGTCGCCGGAAGAAACTTCAAATACAGAGAATGCTGTGCCTGTGTTGGAAATTGTGTCTGATGGGGAGCTTTCTTTGGTTGATCCTCCTGCTCCAAGTTCTAGTGCATTAGCATTAGCTCCGCCGCCTCCTCCAGAGCCTCTAACGTTAGCTGCTGCTGGCGCAACTGCCACCACCAACACCGGGCAAAGCGATGCACCTGACTGCTGGACAACGGACAAGGTGCAATATTTTTGCAAGACCAATGCATGGCTCCTTCTTAAAGATAAGAAGCTAGGATGTCGGATATGCAGAGATGTCAAATCTTTGGGAATACACACTGGACAAGGACTGAAACTGTCAACTGAATGGGGTGAGTGTGCAGTGTCTCATTTCGGTGTTGACAAGGGCAAACAACAAGCTAGCCTGAGAAAAAAAATCAAAGAACATAAAGAATCACAAGCCCATGTAAAAGCTGCTGACATCCTTACATCTGCTTCATGTGAAACTATTCAACATCAAGTGCAGTCTATGCATACATCTGAATTAGACACCACTATCAGAGTTTTTCGAACGGCATATAAAATTGGCAAACATAGCCGGCCATTCACAGACATGCCAATTGATTTGAATGTACAGAAACTGAATGGGCTGAACGTGGGCAGGGTTTTGCACTCCAATAAAACCTGTGGCGAAATCATCGACCACATAGCTCATGAGCTGAAGAAAAAAATGGCAAAAGACATTACAGAAAACCAAAGAAAACTCTGTGTTTTGGTCGATGAATCTACCACTATTAGTGGTAAAACGGTGCTTGTTGTGTGTCTACGCTCAGCATTAGCTGATGCTGAGCCCGAAACGTTTTTTTGGAAGCTGATCGAGTTGGATGGAACAACGGCTGATGACATCACAAAGGCGTTAATGGAGTGTCTTGGAAGAGATTTTAACGAGGACTTTTTAGGTCAGTGTTTCGTTTCTTTTGCATGTGATGGGGCTTCAGTCATGCTAGGGAAGAGAACAGGCGTTGCTACCCAGTTGTGTAGTAAATTCCCAAGCCTGTTTGTGTGGCACTGCTCCAATCATCGTCTAGAGCTGGCAGTTGGGGATGTGGTCAAGGAGGTCTCAGGGCTCAATCATTTCCAGATCTTTTTTGACAAACTCTATTCCTTGTTCCATGCCTCCCCCAAAAATCAGAGGCAGTTAGCGCAGTGTGCGCAAGCAGTCGAGACAGCGTCTCCTGGTGATAGGGCGTGTTTTGTCCATCCGCTGGGTGGCTTCAAGTGAAAGGAGCGTCAGAGCAGTCTGGGAAAACTACCGAGTGCTTCATGATCACTTCACAAATGCTGCAAACGACACGAGCAGGGATTCCAGAGACAGAGCAAAGTACAAGGGCCTGGATGATGTGCTCACATCTGCAACGTTTGTCAGCAATCTGGGACTGATGTACGATGCGCTCACAGAGCTCAGCGACCTCTCTCGGCAACTCCAAAAAAGAGAGATGACACTGCCTACAGCAGATAGGCTCTTAACTCGATAAATACGAGTTTTTGAATCCATGGTCACCATGCCTGGCCCACACATGACTACAGTTCATACAGCTCTAGCTGAGAAGTCCTTCAAGGGTGTTGCCCTGCGTGAGAATGGCAGGCTTGTACAGATTCATGCAGGTCAGTTTTTCCGCAGTATGGTAGAGAATCGGAGACACAGAATGACTTCCACAACCTCCTCTCATGTCAGCACAAGAGAAATCCCATTACATGGCCGGGAGGCCCGGGACAATCAGCTAATCCAGGACATGAAAGTTATCCATCCTGGAAGTTGGCCTGAAGAGGAGTTAGACGTACAGTATGGGGACGTAGAGGTGCTACGTTTGTGCGAAGTGCTGAAAGTGGACAGAAGAGAGACTGTTCAGGGCTTTCGCGAATACAAGGAAACCAGGGCATCCCGTACACCTGCTGCCATGGAGCCTCTACTGAAAGCAGTCCGAACCATCGCTGTCTCCACTAGTGAGTGTGAGCGGGCATTCAGCTGCATGAACGATATCCTTACTGCAAAAAGGAATGCTCTCTCTGTCAGCCGACTGTCCAGCCTGGTTTTCATTAAATGTAATGGACCATCACTAGGACAGTTCAATCCGGAACAGTATGTGAGGTCCTGGCTGGCAAAGGGAAGGAGAAGTGCTGATGAAAGAGCCTGTCCAGCTCCAGCCCCTGATACTGATGTCCCCAAGGCCTTCTGGAGCCTTTTCTAACAATGTGAAGTATATTGCAAAGCAGCTCACCCAGTGAGAAAACTTTTGGCATAATGTGCCGATTTGTACAGATCCTGGAGATAGAAGGACTTCAGACCAACCAGGGAGTTATCTGATCAGCTTGGTGTTCAATGTAACTCTTTACCATGGCTCAGACTTTGTTACTTGCAGTTACAGTTTCTCATTTTAGATTGTGCAAATTTTGCATTTGTTTTTACATGTTCTTTGTTCATGCTCTTTATCATTTTTCTGAGTTGGAAAGTTAGATTGCATCATAGTTTACTTTATACATATTTGTATTCTTCAGTGGTGAAGTATATTGCAAAGCAGCTCAGCCATGTGAGAAGACTTTTGGCACTTTTTCGTTTTTCGTTTTCTGAGTTGGAAAGTTAGATTGCATTCAAAATGTACAGAAATACTTAATTTTGTTAAAGCTTTTTATAAAAAATGCTTCTGACCAGAGCTTTGTTTCCTTGTCATTAATGTTGAACACCACCAGAGGGGCTCTCACCTGAAAGGTCTCTGCTTCATGTGTCTTCAGCAGAAGATCTAGACTTTGATTGCTATATTTTCAGTTAATATTGACCTTACTGAGCTTTAGCCATATCCGCTGCCTATCATAAAAAATGTTAAGTACAGTGAACCTTTCTAAAATATACAGTAGTAAAGAGACAAACCCACCAGCATTATAGTAGCCAAATTCTTGTTTGTGGGCTGTATATATAAAATTGACTTGAAAAAGTTGCTGATTTTAGAGTACTGGCACCTTTTTCATTCCAATTCAAGCACTGGCTATCGGGATGTTAAGAGCATTCCATGGAATATAACAAAAAGTGTTTTATCTGGACTGGATTATCCCAGAGAGTCTAAAGATTCTTTATAACCCAGTTTGAGATTTGTGAAACCTTAATTCTATTTGTGAAAATACAAAAAAGGGAGATTTCAGTGCTTTTTTCGCATCCTGACCACATTAGACCAGGTCCTGATCTAAAACCAAACCACTATACCTAACTCATCAAATCTGGACTGGATTATCCCAGAGGGTCTAAAGATTCTTTATAACACAGTTTCAGATTTGTGAAACCTTTATTCTATTTGTGAAAATACAAATAAGGGAGATTTCAGTGCTTTTTTTTATATGTAGACCACATTAGACCAGGTCCTGATCTGAAACCACTAGACCTAGACTCGTCAAATCTGGACTGGATTATCCCACAGAGTCTAAAGATTCTTTATAACACAGTTTCAGATTTGTGAAACCTTAATTGTGAAAATACAAAAAGGGAGATTTTGCTGCTTTTATTTTATCTAGACCATATTAGACCAGGTCCTGATCTAAAACCACTATACCTACACTATTCAAATCTGGACTGGATTATCCCAGAGAGTCTAAAGATTCTTTATAACCCAGTTTGAGATTTGTGAAACCTTTATTCTATTTGTGAAAATACAAAAATGGGAGATTTCAGTGCTTTTTTCGCATCCTGACCACATTAGACCAGGTCCTGATCTGAAACCACTAGACCTAGACTCGTCAAATCTGGACTGGATTATCCCACAGAGTCTAAAGATTCTTTATAACACAGTTTCAGATTTGTGAAACCTTAATTGTGAAAATACAAAAAGGGAGATTTTGCTGCTTTTATTTTATCTAGACCATATTAGACCAGGTCCTGATCTAAAACCACTATACCTACACTATTCAAATCTGGACTGGATTATCCCAGAGAGTCTAAAGATTCTTTATAACCCAGTTTGAGATTTGTGAAACCTTTATTCTATTTGTGAAAATACAAAATGGGAGATTTCAGTGCTTTTTTCGCATCCTGATCACATTAGACCAGGTCCTGATCTGAAACCACTAGACCTAGACTCATCAAATCTGGACTGGATTATCCCACAGAGTCTAAAGATTCTTTATAACCCAGTTTCAGATTTGTGAAACCTTTATTCTATTTGTGAAAATACAAACACAGGTGGAAGGCTGAGGTTGCTGCAGCAGGCCAGGATCAGAATCAGAGAGTGAACCTCCCAGCTGGGCAAGCCTTTATGCCTTCTTGTATTTTCACAAATAGAATAAAGGTTTCACAAATCTCAAACTGTGTTATAAATAATCTTTAGAGTCTCTGGGATAATCCAGTCCAGATTTGATGAGTCTAGGTCTAGTGGTTTGGTTTTAGATCAGGACCTGGTCTAATGTGGTCAAGATGCGAAAAAAGCACTGAAATCTCCCTTTTTTGTATTTTCACAAATAGAATTAAGGTTTCACAAATCTCAAACTGGGTTATAAAGAATCTTTAGACTCTCTGGGATAATCCAGTCCAGATAAAACACTTTTTGTTATATTCCATGGAATGCTCTTAACATCCCGATAGCAATGAATACATTAAATGCTTTGACAATAAATAAATACATAACAACATTTCATCTGTGGAAGCCGTGGTGCTGTAAAAAGCACGACCAATCATCTGAGCCGGTCCGGCTAAAATAACTGGATGGCCTACGTGCCTGTCAGCCTTCCATCTCGTGAACAAACGTATCTCGTGCCCTCATTGGTCATGGCCCTTTCTCATTTATCTAACTCCCCTCCTCAACTCCTATCCTCGACTCCTATCCTCGATACTTAGTCCCGCCCACAGGAGATGCGAGCGGAGGAGCCGAGGAGGGGAACCGAGGAGAGAGGAGGGGAAGCAGCAGGCGGTTAGAGAAATGAGAACTCCTCTCCTCTGAGCGGTCATTTTAAAGAGACGTCAGCGTCGTCTCTGGAAGGTCGTATGGCGGGAGTTTTAAATACTCGCGATTTTACAACGGCCGGTCTAATCATCTCTTCTTCATCGCGGCGAACTGTGAGTCATTTTAATATATTTATCCCCAAAACCATTGCACTCTACTGAATAAGATGACTAGCATGCAGTACATATATGCTTGAGTGTTATAGCTAAACAGTTAACAGTAACTTAAGTTTAAATGTCCTCCACTTCAGTCGAAGTTAGCTAGTGAAGCGCTTTCTAGTTAAGCGTGTATGCTAACTGGAGTGAACAGGCTAACTAATACACTTCTGTCAGCACCTGCTGCTCCTAGAAAGACATGGCTAGCTAAAATGGCTACTAACTTTCTCTCTTTACAAACAGGTAATCAAACGCAATGAATCACATCAGAAACATAAAGGAGAAGCTGAGCATACCAACTGGAAGCAGGTAGTTAAAGTAGCTATTTAAGAATGGTTTCCAACTATTGTTTCTTTATCTGTGCACAGCTGTGATCAATCGTTTTTAAGCTGACTAACAGTGTAATAATAACACTTAGTCATTAAGCCCTACGTTTGAATAGCAATATGTATAAGTCTGTCTGTGTTTACCTTATTTCTACAAACACATATTTATTTTTACAAAACATCAGCAGAAATGTGTCTACCAGCGGCTACTCCAGCTTCACAGACTCGCAGCTTTTCTTCGGGTCTCAGTTTTGGCCTGAAAATTCTCAAAGCATGTCTCAAGAAATGAGTTTGTCATCCAGGAACTCCCAACAAAGTTCACAGGAGGTGAGTTTTATCATCTTACAAGTGGTTGTTGGTGAAGCAGTGATATATTTGAGGCCCAAAATGAATGGACAAATCCATCTGGTTTAGTGGCATTATTACTTATGCAGGTTACACTCAGTTTACTATTAATTATAAGTGAGTTAAGTAATGGGTCTGATGGAGAAGTTTGCACGTGTGTTGTTCTGTGAAAAAGAGTTTAAAAAAAAGATGTGAATCTAATTTCATTAGAAAGATCCAGGCACCTTCATTCAAATCGGCAGTATGTTATACTGCATCTTTGCTTTATTGTTTGTTAGTAACAAGCACATTTGTTCTTATATTGCAAAATGAATGACATTGAGGCATTTAATTACAGTTTAATGGACCACCATAAGTGAAGTGAGGCAACCTGTTTCTTTGAATTAAATCTTTTATTTGTTATCATACCTTCATATGGATGTATTTATTGTTACTGAAATGATGTGAAAATCACTTCTGCCTTGTGTATCTATAAACCTCATATTGTTTTACTTTTTTTTTTTAGGGAAGTGACCCCAAGTTTATAAGCAGTTATCACACCAAACCTTTCTTGTTTGGAGAATTAAAGGACAAGAGCAAAGCTTTTGGGATACTCGATAAGTTTGAAGAGGACAAGAAAAGGGCAAAAGAACAAACTGACCGGTCCGTAGCTACATGCAACACACTTTTTATTTATACTTTTAATTGAACTATTCATATCTTAGACTGCACTGTAACTTTTATCCATGTACTTTTTCTTTGAATGTTTAATTGAACTATTCAATGGGCCGGGACTCGATTAAAAAAATTAATCTAATTAATTAGAGGCTTTGTAATTAATTAATCGAAATTAATCGCATTTTTAATCACATATAAATATTTGACCTGAGAACAGTGAGAAGCAATTTTTTTCACATGGATTTTAGTATAACATTAGGCGCATTCACACCGCAGTACTTTTCCCACAAAGGTTCATGAGAATTTAGTTCATGAGAACTCTTTGAACCTGGGGGTGGATTAGGCAAATGAAGCCGCTGACGTCACTTCTTCTTCTTCTTCTGCTTTGGGTTTACTGGCAGGCCGCAAACCACTTCACGGCGTATACTGCCGCCCAAAGTCCCCGGCCGGAAGTCCCCGGAGTTGGGGACTGGCTTCAGTAGAAGCTGCTGGGAGTCCCAGCAGCCTTCCGAGTAAATCGCCAGAACGCCGACACCTCCTCATCTCCACCGCTCCCATGTTTTATTTTGTGTTGCCATAAGTTAGTCTCTCTGCGTTTCTGCGCTGGGCTAATGCTAATAATGCTAATGCTAATACGAGGATAATAAAATGGCGGCTTCACAAAACTTTTTGGGAGTTTTACGGGGCGTGGTTTGCAATCCTCCAAGCCAATCAGAAATATAGCTCTTTTCTCACAAGAGAGCCGTACGAAAGTCCCTGCTCTCTAGCAGCTCTCTAGCAGGGACTTTCGTGGGGGTAAAAAGGTTCTCATGAACTAATTTTAGTACCGGCTCTTTTTGGTGTGAACGCGATAAAATAGGCTAACGTCCACGCTAGCTGCTATATGTGTTGCAGTGAGGTGATACTTGAGGCTTGATATGCGAATTCCTTTTTGCATAATTTGCACACAACCGTGCTCTTATCGACGCTTCCATCCGTCCGTTTTTTAAAACAACATTTCCCACTGTTGTTCACTGTGGTTTGTTGTTGTCTGAAGTCATGAACGTTAGTTGGTGCTCCAGTATAATCGGTACGCCTGAAACTCATCCAGTGAGAAACGTTCCGCGGTGCAAAAATAAGTGCGATTAAAATGCGTTAATTTTTGTGTAATTAATTAATCTTAATTAACGCGTTAAAGTCCCGGCCCTACTATTCATATCTTAGATTGCACTGTAACTTTTATCCATGTATTTTTTCTTTTAATGTTTATTTTATTAGCTTTTCTTTTTAATGACTGATTTTAAATGCCATTTTCTGAATGTCTTTCATTTTTTGTAAAGCACTTTGAATTGCCTTGTGTTGAAAAGTGCTATATAAATAAACTTGCCTTGCGGGATATTTTTTATTTTTTTAAGTTGGCCTAATAACTTCTGACATCTTCAAATCTATCCTTTTTGTTTTAACAGTGATATTTTAGCCAAAGAATGTAATCACTTTCGAGAAACCCTCAACAATGTAAGTGTTCATATACATCCATGCTGTCACCTTTTTGGATTTGAAAGCTTCTCTACTGTAGATGTAACATGTTCAACTATGCTGCCATGCTTTTCAGATCCAACAACTGGTCGCTGGCACTGAGAAAAATACTTGTGCGAGCGAAACGGTCCTTCAAAAATTTGACAGTTTTTCGTCAACAAGTACGTTTTCTTATTTATTGATACTTTTAAATGAAATTTGAGTTCTAATTAGGGCTGCTCGATTATGGCAAAAATCATAATCTCGATTATTTGGGTCAATAATTGATATCACGATTATTAAAAACGATTATCCATTTACTTTGAAAACATCCATTTATTGCAAAAAACAGTTGATTACCCTTAACTTTAAGTATAATTCCAATTTTAAAAAAGAAATAAGTTTTATTTCGATTATGTTGTTTTCATAATCGTTGCAAGCCAAAATCGTAATTGCGATTAAAATACGATTAATTGAGCAGCCCTAGTTCTAATAATATTTGCCAGTAGATGGTGCTCTTTGCCAAATGAATACACATGGGTAAACCATAATCTTCTAATTTTGGAAAATTACTATATGGTTCTATTATCTTCTATACATTTGTATTGTATTGAAATACGTTTTATACATGCATATATCTTTTATTCCCATTTATCACAGTGCAAACTAATATCAACAGTCTTCAGATTGACATTTCCCAGCAGTTTGAGGCTTTACTGACTAAAGTGAACTCCCAGAAAGAGCTGATGGCTGAACTCGAAGACAAGATGCAAAAGGTGAACAATATTGAAACTTTTAATCAAGATTGCTGCATATTAATTGAGGTGAAAGTGTATTTGGTTGGCTTCCAGTTGTATAAATGTACATTTGACCATTTAGACTGGGGACACCACGGTGGCATTTGGTTCAAACCTGCAAGGCTTAAAGGATGATCTGGGTTGTCTGAGAGAGGTTCAGGAGAGAGAGCGAAACATGCTGGAAGAGGCTCTGAAGCTGCTCAGCACCTTAGTCTCAGAGCACTCAGCCAAAGCCAGCTCTGAGAGGGTGACGGACAGTGCCAACCAGACATCACCAGAGCTCGAACAGTCTTTCTCCAACATCCTACAGGAGAACAAGCTTGAAGGCACACAGCTAATATGCAAGTCATACAACCGTGAGTGTAATCAGGTTCAAGTTCCCCCTCAGGGTCCCATCATAGGAAAGAGGAAAGTCCCTCAGAGAGGCCAGAGGAGGTGCAGAAAGAGGCCGCTTGTGCTCTCACAGAGGAGTAAGGGCACTGTCACAAATGAAAACAGTCAACTACTCATGAACTGCGACAAAGGACAACATGTTACTACACCTCGATGTGAGCGTCGTGATCCGAACATGGTACCAAGACGGGACCATCTCGTTGTAGAACGTCGAATACTGCCAACCAGGAAGGTGAGATCAATAGCTAAAGGGTGTTACATCACCCCACTCAGCTGCTGGTCTCAGGACAGCGACAGCTCCGTGTGCATTGAAGGAATCGAACCCATCTTGGCGAAACCCTCGGCTGAGTCCAAAGCGGTGACCCCAGTGAGACCCGAAGGCCTCTGGCAGCTGTTTGATATAGATGGGAGTTCTGATTTAGGCTATTAGAGGAGGAGTAAAAGAGTATGAAGTGTACCTTTTTTGTTATTTTCATAGTAAAAGCCTGAAATGTGTGTTGTTCTAATTATCCTTACTCTGGACCTATTATACTAGTTTTACAGTTTCTCAGTTTGTAGACAAATTAACACATTGATAAATGTTTAATGTTCAAAAAGCTTTAGAGGGATGTAAAAAGGTACTAATAAATAAGTTAAGAAATGACTAACCTACAAATACACCTTTTAAACTTATTTCTGCTGAGATACAATATGTATTTGATTAATAACTAATGTGTTCTGTACTTACACTTCTGAGTACACAATGTATAAATAAACAAACAACTGTATTCAAATAACCAAACGTTTTCCATAATATTGTTAACGTGTAGTTTGTTTATTAGCAGAACACATTTGCTTTAGCAAGCATCCATAAAAAGAACAAACTCATTAATGAATACGATATCAACTATGTATGACATGTCAACTTATTTATAGTAAATTGACATTGCCATACAATTATTGATTGACAGAAAATTCCTTGGCATAATCGTTTCAGTCATTGTTTTTAGACACAAACATTATTCTGGATTAAGCGACCCATGGAGTTATTTTTTTCTATATTTCTGTACCATATATGTATGTCTTGATAATTTTGTGCCACACAGCTGCAGGTTTTAGGGGATCAATCTCTGCAGATCTTGCGCAATAAGATACAAAATGACAATAACTGTATTTACAAATGTTCTTTTGTATTCTCATTAACAGGAGAATCTCTTGCGACAGCGTGCAAATCATTAACTGCAGATCCTCTTCCATGCAGGAAAACAATGAACGCCTTTAGCCCAGCATTAAGTGCATTAATAATGAATCATTCATTTCCTTTGCTAATTCTCCAACACAGACTTTGGCCTGATCTGAGAGGGGGGTCACTGTTTAACTAAGTCTGCAGGTGGGGACATGAGTCCCCTCGGGTTGAGACTTGCAACTAAGCAGACGTCATAGTTATCATGCATCAGAGCGTGCCGAGCCACCACAGTCCACCGGCCCCCCCACGGATCCAGCTCCAAAATGTCCTTTGTTATATCGTCATGACGATCTAAAAGTAGTAATGAAACAGATTTCAGTCCCATGGAAACATCTTTCAAGCACTTTTAATTAAATGGATACGGATATTTTTTCTTACCTGCTCCTTTGTAGTATCCACACACATAGATCTTGCCTCCCACCACTCCTGCGTTTGAGGCATTGGTGCGCAGAGAGAGCTGTGCGAATGGGAGAGGAGGTCCATCCCTCCACTTATTTTCATCTGGGTTGTAGATCTCCACAGCATCAAGGCAGTGGCGTGATTGCCCACAGTCACTGCCCTCACAACCAATACCACCTGCAAAATCCATATTTCATCAGCAAATGGCTTAATTCTCTCAAACTATTTCTAACATGAATCAATAAAGTTCCATTTGTTTAGCAGAATAAGTGCAGCACAATCAGAGTTTCCCTACAATATTGTAATATCTATAGAAAATGTGCTATCAGTCAACACCCTCTAAAAGGATCATCAAAAATATTGCATACCAAGAGAGATTAAAAAGAAAACAATTCATAATCTCACCCATCACATAAATGTCACCATTGAGTACAACGGCACTGCAGCGATACTTTGAGTACTTCATGGGTCCTAACTCTGTCCACTTATTTATGTTTGGATCATACTCCAGCAGTCGGTTACTGAGACGGTCCGGCTCATCATCCGTCCGGTATGACTGGGTGGTTGAAGGGGAGGGAGAGGGAGACAAAGCAGTCAGAGAGGGGTCACATACAGACACTCAAGGTTTTGGCAGGTCTCAAAAGTCTCACATGCACTTTAAATGTATGACTAAAATGGTTGTAAGTTTTTTTTTTTTTAGCCATTAAAATAATGTTAAGATATTTTGATATTACCTGTGGTGTTCGACCCCCGATCACATAAAGGCGATCTTTCATCCCGACTGCGCTGTGATAGGCTAAAGGCAGAGGCAGGGGCGCTGCACTGCGCCACGGCCCTCCTTGCAGAGACCACCGCTCCACACAGTTAGTGATGAGAAGCTGGTTCTTCAGCTTCATCTGCCCCCCCAGCAGGTACAGAGTTTCCCCCAGTGATGCCAGAGCATAGGAGTCTCGGTATTCTGCTGACGACAGGCACTCCCAACTTCCCTGCGCCTCCACTTTGTACCTGGCCAACAGGGAAAACAATCAGTGCCATCTGAGTGGGGTAAGCAAATACACACTTATCAAATGTGTCATCTAATGTCTTACCTGTAAATCTCAACGTTAATGTCTTTCTGTCGGGCCATTTTGCGAGCACTTGTCTCTCCTGCGACTATAATGTCATTTTTTTCAGTAACAACCCCGGCACACACAAACCCCAGAGCCTCTGCGTAGCGAGGTGAAGTGATGTAGTAGGTTCGGCCTGTGGATGGGGCATAGCAGAAGCTGCGCTCAGCAAAGCTGCCATATCTCGATCTAATCCCACCACCATCGTTTCCAATACAGAGCAGCAGGTCTGTGGTCTCCATGCCGTAGCGCAGCTTTAGCTTGCGTGGCGCTGCTGAGGGGTGCATCGCTGTGACATCCAAGGCTTGATTGAGCATCTCAAGACACTCAGCGTCAGACAGCAGGGCCGTGTTCCTCTTCATCGCCTCTTTCAAATTGTTAGGGTGTATCAGTGGCAGACGGACCTTCCTCAGGAGTTCAGGAAGGTGCAGATTACGGACCTCTCCATCTTCCACAGTGCAGTGTCTGACCCAGCGGAGGACCACATCCAGGATGGTCTCTTCTTGTGAAACATTAAGGTCATCAGAGGTCAGCAGCTTTCCCAGTTGATGGGCCTCCAGCTCCAGGACCTCCTCATTTTGGCAGACTTGGACAAAGTTCTGCCCAAGAAAGCGCTGAGCATGTTCAGCTAAATCCTCCGCTCCAAGATCACGGGCAAAGTAATACACACCGAGGCAGTTGGAAGCATCCATGTTCTCGGTCATGTGCAGCTGACAGCGATGGAAGACGTCGTCCATCTGCAGGAGAAAAGATGCAATAGAGATGCCTTGCACATTGGCGTTGGTGAGAGCAAGATCTGAGCAGTACATGTAGTTTAGCAGGAGGGCCAGGCTGTCTGCAGGGGTGTCACGCAGAACTATTTCTCTAGTGTTGCACTCGCGAAGGCCGCAGGTGAACATAACACGAAAATAAGGACTAAAAGCGGACAAAACGACCCGGTGACAGGGGAAGCTGATTCCCTCAGCAACCAGCACCACATCCGTCAGATGCTCGCTCTCCCTCATCTTCCTCAGCTGGTTGAGCAGCACCAGCCCATGTTTGGAAGTAACATCCATTTTACCTCAACTTTTTAGTGACAATAATATTTACAAAAGTTAGGAAGTGTTATGCAATCTGAACACCTGGTCAGGAGATTTTCTCTAGAAAAACAAGAAGAAAACAAATGATTTAGAAGCCATCAATATCATAAGAAACAGTAGTTCAAAGTATAATTAATACTAAAACTTCTATTCAACATTTGTTAACATTAAAGAATATCCCAATAAACCAGAATGGGTAATAACCATGATATTTAAAAATAAATGTTATGTCATCTAAAAAACACACAAATAATATTACATACATTATAAATAATGATTTCGTTTTTTTTCTTCTATCTGGCACAAATTAGACTAATGTGCCAAAAACAGACAAACAATTGAAGATCATTTTGCTTATATTTGTATAACTATTATAATTATTTTTATAATATTATTATTATTTTAATCATTATGATTATTTTTAGTATTATTAGCATTATTAATATCATTATTATTATCTTCTATTTATATTGCGATAACATTGTTATTGTTGTTTTATGGCCACGGTAATCAAAATGCTGCTCTGATTCTAAAAATATACATTTTCTATTAGCCTTAAATATATTCAATACTAGCCAAATGTCCACCACCATTGTCCATATAGCCTGTACACTCTTATAACTTAGCACCACATCTGTCCTTTGTATTACAGCATGCCCTTTTAAAGCCTTACCATAATCATTAGCTCCTTGGTAATCTTCAGTCTAAAAAGACGAGTACATTTCCATGTGTTGTTGATGTTGCTGAATTGGTCAGTCAGCTGTGTTAGAGAAGGTCCGAGAGATTGCAGGACACTAAGATAGTACCCCCTCCTCTGCTGTGGCCCTCTGAGCTGCCAACCCAAAATAGACAGTGTTGTTGCCGACAGCAAGTAGGTCAGAAGGTTTCCCTGGTCAGGACAGTGTTAACTTGTAATCTAAGACATGATAGAGACATACATTGAATTATATTGATATTCTTTATTAGATTTATTGGGATTATGTTGTACTTAGTGAGTAAAGTAATGTTACATGTTGTTTGCCTCAGTCACGTATGTGCAACTCTGGAAGGACTGAAATGAAACATTGCTTCGAGTTCGGATTCAGATTTCATGACGGCACTCTCTTAAAGGCCCAGTGTGCTCTCTGCCCACATGTTGCAATAATCACACATTGTCCATTAAGTTTGAGAAATGTTTTGCACCAACCAAAAGGAAGTTTATATACTCAATGTATTATTTTTTAAAGAAATTATTGTAGGCCTTGGTACAGAGCAAGTATGTAAAAAATATCTAACGATTACGTAAATATCAGTTTGTAGAATAGAGCGGATACAGAGACATTTTACCAATGAAGAAACAACAACTGGGTTCCATAGCCATAGTTATTAAACATATAGGAGAATTATTGAAAAGCATGTGTGTTGTATACATACATACACACATACTACTTGGACTTCTTTTTTTTGTTTCAGATGTTTTCCATGAGCAATGCATTGAGTATAAGGAGACTTTTCATGCTTCATTACCTCCATTTTTGCAAGTGAATGGGAAAAAAACTGGAAGGATGTGAACATGCCTGTCAAACATCCATTGACTCACCAGAGTTAATATTTGTCCTCTTTAACACCATAATTACATCCTTAGTGTTGGGGAAACCTCTGTGGTGCAATGCAGACTCAAAAGGAGACACGAGGAGAGCTGGAGCTTTGATGTCAAACACTGATGGTTTATTTGGAGTATTGGCCAGAGAATTCACAAAGCATGTCCAGAACCAGAGGTCTGACTACACGGTAGAGTTGCCATAATCAATTCTGAAGCGCCTCTTTCTGGATAGACCTTTTAACTATAGTTTGGAGGAGAGTAATCAACATTCTTGACTAGATAGACTAAACAGATGGGGATACTGAATTACTTGCAACTGACGCTTATGGCCTCGAAGATTTCACACCTTGGAGTCAACAAGCCCCAAAAAGGAAGCGTTCCTTTTGTCCCCATAACAATAAACTATGTTTGACCGAAAGGTGCCTGGTCATAAACTGGCAACAACAACATATGGCTGAAGCAGCCCCATCCTTAATTAAGGGAGATAACAGATGCCAAGGCTGGTCATCTGTGTCAGAGGGCAAAGGAGAATTTTTCCCCAACAGTTAGCTTTTTCCAACCTAACATCCTCCTTTAGTTAACCATTAGGCAATATGGTGTACATATGCACAATTGTTCTTGTGACAGACGAACAGGAGCATCAGTAGTAAAGGGTAAGAAAAGTTGCAAAGATTCAGACCAATGGACTCACGCAGATTTGGGAAATACATTGTGGAGCGGGAGGTGCTGGATGAGCAGAGACTGGAAGAGATAACGCAGAGAAAAACTCACTCTGACAATCAATCTTCTCTAACTAAACGCCTAAAAGATTCCTTAAGGTAAGACACATTTCATGGCAAATGTACTCTACTTTAGATGTAGATGAATGGTCTGATCTTCTATTCAAAGATAACCACAGACCCATTTCAGTTATTTGTCCTTTAAGCTTTATCCAATATAAAAACTTGTTTCTATATCCTTCACATCTCTTCCAGATGTACAGTACCCAAACTGAAACACAGCGTGATGAGCAGCTTGCCGGTGTTGTACTGGCTGCCCAAATACTCAGTCTGGGACTATGGCATGCCAGACCTCATCTCCGGCATCAGTGTGGGCATAATGCACCTGCCCCAAGGTATGACAATGGTCCATTATTTCATGACTTAAAGGGTGAATGACAAAAACCTACTAGTTCAACTTTAATCCATCATTTAATCCAGTAAAAGGCTAAAGCTTCATACAAATATTCATAAGTAAAGACTGAGATTGGTGTAACCAAACTTGTGTTTTCTTACAGGTTTGGCATATGCGATGTTGGCTTCCGTACCTCCTGTATTTGGGCTGTACTCGTCCCTCTATCCAGCATTGATCTACTTCTTTTTTGGAACATCACGTCATATCTCTATCGGTATTCAAAAGAGAGATTGAAAGTTAATAGAGCACATAGAGCAGTACTGGTACACAATATAACAAATAATATGTTATAAAGCAAGGATAAACTGACCAAAATATGCTATTATTTTAATTAAATGCTAAAATAAGCTATATGCAGTATAATAAAAGAGACGTTACACCGTTATCATTACAACCTCTGTAATAATACTTTTCTTCATTGTGTTCAGGGACATTTACTGTGCTCAGCATCATGGTGGGCAGTGTGACAGAGAGACTTGCTCCAGATGTGAATTTCCTCATACAAAATGGGACCAACGTCACTGCAGAGGTGAACATAACTGCCAGGGACTCATACAGGGTGCAGGTAGCGGTTGCTACTACGGTCCTAGGAGGACTAATTCAGGTCTGAACTTTTTAGCTGAAATCACAACACGCCATTTTGTTGTTGAAGCTGCCAAAACTCACATTTACATACCTGATTGTTTTCATAGGTGGCTCTGGGTTTGGTGAAGTTTGGATTTGTGGGAACGTATTTGTCCGAGCCTCTGGTGCGGGCTTACACAACGGCTGCTTCAGCTCATGCTGTGGTGGCACAACTGAAGTACATCTTTGGAGTCTCACCAACACGGTTTAGTGGTCCCTTTTCAATGGTGTATGTGAGTACTATCAAGTCATTTCTTCTGATTACTTCCTACCAAGAATGACAACTCAAAAAAGGTTGTTGTGCGTTTGTCATAATTGTATTTAAACTTGTATTCAACTGGAAATCTTTGAAATGTGTTATCTCTTTTATGTAAGAAAATATATTTATATCACACATACTTCCTTTATAAGACACTCTCTCCAACTGTAATGTATTTCAGGCTTGAAATAGGACATAGCTGAGGTTGGACATATCAGGGATCAATTAAATAATATTAGGGATGGGACGTTATAGGTTTGAATTGGAATAAAAACTATATAAAACATTTACAATAAGGTCACTGTGGTGAATTTAATTTATCAAGAAAGATGTGAATACACTTCCACAAAGTTCAATAAACATTGAGCCAGTAGTTCTGTAATCCTGTTGACATAAAACAAGCCAGTACGAAAACATGTCTCCCTTGAGGGATGTTTACTATGACTCAAAATCATTTGTTGTGTGCATCAAAGCATGTATGTGTTTTATTATTTACAGGACTAAGCCATAACCACCTACTGCTTTTTATTTTCCATTTCAGACTCTGAAGGATGTTTGCTCCTTGCTGCCTTACACTCATCTTCCCACACTGGTGGTCAGCGCTGTGTCCATGGTGTTTTTGATTGCAGCGAAGGAGCTCAACTCTTTCATCAGTCCAAAGCTGCCAGTGCCGATCCCAGTGGAGCTCATCACAGTCAGTTGATAAGACGACACACTCTCTGGCCTCTCTTTGTGTTATCACCTCTGCTCTGCGCTGCTGCTGATGTTGCAGCTTGAAAAAGCACAGACACAGAAAGCTAAGCAGCTGAATCAGCAGTTGTGCCTGGGCCTCTGAGTTTGTGCAGTTTACAGCAAAAATTGAGATTCTTTAAGGCTAATAATTAGTTTGACCTCTAGCATATGGTTAACAGGTTTTTAATGATTCTTGTTAATGGATTAAAAGGTGTTGTTTGTGGTTTCATCTGTATTATTTCCAATTATGATTTAGATTGTGGCGGGGACATTGATATCAGCCTATACCCACTTGAACAGAAACTACACTATTTCAGTTGTTGGAGAAATTCCTAGTGGGTAAGCATTTCGATTTATTTTATACTGCTGTAATTCTTTTTTGAGTCACATTCCCCATCTTGTTTTGCAAGGCGCAACCAACAATCATTTTCATTTCCCACTAATCTGCTGATTATTTTTTAGATTAATCAATTATCATTTGTATGTTTGTAATTGTCAGTACCAAACCTAGAGGCTGAAAATAGCATTTCTACTTTTTTTATGAAATGGTATTCTTCATCTATTAATTGATGGGGATTATTTTCTTTGTTTATACCTCTAAACGTTGAAGCTCTATTGTTTATTACTAACTGATTTATTTTTTCCTCTACCTTTTCACCAGTCTAAGTCCTCCCAGTGTTCCAGATGCAAGTCTCTTTGGAGAGGTTATTGGAGATGCTTTTGCATTGGCCATGGTTGGATATGCCATATCTATTTCACTTGGCAAAACATTTGCACTGAAACATGGATACAAGGTTGATAGCAACCAGGTAAATAATGTCTTTAATAAACTTTATTTCTGCAGATACCTTTAGTGTACAATCATTTTCTCACACTTTATTTCTCTTCTCATTCAAATGTTTCTTTCTCCACTCTGCTTCAGGAGCTGGTGGCGCTGGGTCTCAGTAATGCGGTGGGAGGATTCTTCCAGTGCTTCTCCGTCTGCTCCTCTATGTCTCGAAGTCTGATTCAAGAAACCACCGGAGGGAAAACTCAAGTGAGTGAGCAGCAGAAGTAACAAGATTATATCAGCTTGACCTCACAAGTACTGTGAACATGCAACATGCAGTAGTTATACTCTATTATGACCCATTTAAGGATGATTGAGTAAGAGTAAAAAGCAAATAATGTTTAATTAAATAAAACCACATTGTGTACGTAGGAAAATCGAACACTTTTTTATTGGCTTTCAAAATACAGCAACATTGTTATTTTTGTTACCATGTTACCATTACTGCTCTGAACACAAATAGTTCAAAACAACCAGAAACTTCATGTTTTTATTGCAGATGGCCGCCGTTGCCTCGTCTCTAATTGTGTTGGTGACTATACTGAAACTTGGACCCTTGTTCCAGGAGCTGCCAAAGGTTCTGTTACTCTAACACTCCTCTTCACTACAAAGTAGACTTAAAGTTAATATCTAATGCATGAGATGTTATTGTAATGGATTGTTCTTATTAATCATGTTGGTTGTGCTTGTTTCAGGCTGTCCTTGCAGCGATTGTCTTTGTAAACCTAAAGGGCATGTTCAAGCAGCACTCGGACATTGTTACACTGTGGAAACGCAGCAAGATCGATCTGGTGAGAGGTTAAATTATTATTCATTTGAACTATTGTACAAGAAACAACTGCAACATAATCAAGTGTGGTGTTGAATCTAGAAACAGCCATTATTCTTGTTTCCTTTTCATTATCATGCTGCACCCCCCCAGATGGTGTGGTTGGTCACTTGGGTGTCAACACTGCTGCTCAATCTGGATCTGGGTCTGGTAGCATCCATCCTCTTTGCTCTGCTGACTGTCATTTTCAGAACTCAGATGTAAGACTCCTCTGAACTTTATCATATTATTTCTCCCTTCAGTATCTGAGTTATACTGTGTATGTGAGAATATATATAAGCCAATGGTGTTAGGATGCAAATGTAGCCAGATTGCAAAAATAATATTGTATAGAAACATAATATTTTGTTGTCTTTTATTCCTTTAAGGCCAACATACTCTGTTCTGGGAAACGTTCCAGGTACAGAACTGTATGTGGATATAGAGACCCACAGAGAGGTGAAACAAGAGGACTAACCGTAAATAAGATCTTTCCCACACTCACAAGAAAAATGCGAATAACCTTTTGCTTTTTTACAGGCGAGAGATGTTCCTGGTGTTACTATATTTCGCTCCTCTGCTACAGTTTATTTTGCCAATGCTGATCTGTACATCGAGGCTCTGAAAGAAAAGGTTTGTTCTCTTTCATAGTGAAAAACAAAGTAAAATAATCAGTCCAGTCTCTACATACTGGCCACAGAGGATGTTGCCAAAGAATCCGTCCAATATGCCACCTTCAAATGCTTTGCTTTATATAAACACTACAAAACTGATTTTGACCATTTTAGCCAAGTCTGAAGGTCTCTAAAAAAAAAGTGTATAATTTGGTGTTCGGGTCTGGGAAGACCCAGCAGAATTGTTTTGGGTGACTGGGTCAAATTTGGCCCAATCAAGATTCATCTTTGACTTTAGACAAAGCATAAATATCTTGTTTTTGTTCCTTAATATTTTTAAAAGATGCAGATTATGTATTATTTTTCTTGTTGATCTTTTTTCAGAGTGGACTTGACATCAGTAAAATGATTATCTATAAGAAGAGGCAGGAGGCCAAACAGAGACGTAGAGAAAGGAGGGCCGAGAGGCGGGCAAAAAGGCAAGCCAAAAAAGAGGTGTGTACGCTTGAGATGTATAATACAACTGCAAAAATAATACTTTAAAAATTAGTAAAGATTTTAATGAACAGTGAAAAAGATTTGCACCCAAATCCTATGAATTAAAAAAAGTAGGGCTGCAAATGGTGATCAAATTATTTATTAATGATGTCAATTAATTGCTTTATCTATGAAATGTAAAAATGGCTGGTCGATAATTGTTTGGATTAGTAAATTACTCGACTAATCAACTAACTAATAATTAAAGTAAATGGCTGAAGAGTAACACTGGAAAAACCTACAGGTGACCAATGATCAAGCTACCAAAAAAGTCCTCTTTGTTAAAAGGAGTTTGACTGATTTGTTTCTCGTACCCCTCTTCAGAGACGGGCAGCACAGAGGGCAGCCAAACATCTATCTGGAGCGCCGGTGTTCTCTGTGGAGGAAGAGGCCGGCAGCTGGAGAAACACCTGTGTGGACGGGGATGTTACTGACAGAGAGCAGCAGGGCTGCACTGAGAGGGAGAACGGGACAGTGTTCATCATCCCAACTACTCCTCGAACCCCCGACAGATGGGAGTACCTGAAGGGAGGAGAACCAGACTGCACCAGCTTAGGGTCCATCTCCGAGCTGCAGGAGGGGGACACCACCACCCTGGACTCCAGCAGCGATGACACGCTCAGCCGCGATCTGGAGCGTATCTCTCTTGGGTCACTGGGCAAGTGGAGCTGGGATATTCACTCAATCATTATCGACCTCTCCACAGCTAACTTCATTGACATAGTGGCAATCAAGACTATCAAAAATGTAAGTACTAAAGTGAGAAATATTTAATTTAAGGACAAATGCCTTTAAAGTTGTCATTCGAAAATGTCCACATTACAATATCTTTAAATTACTCGACCTATATTATATTTTGTTGAGTTTTTTACTTGCAGATCTGAAAACACCTGGACCTGACATATAATTATATTGCTAAGGATATAAAAAATCCTTGCTATCCTTTTGATAAGGGAATGACAAATCTTCAACACAAACAAAACTGATTTTGATTTAACTTTGTCTTGGTGTTGATGTCACTGAAATGGGAGTTTATTATATACATAATGTATAGTACTCTTTAACTGTTACATAAACTCTGATGATTAACTGTGAGATAATTAATAAGGGTGATTAGTTGCAACTAATGGGGAACAAACGGCATACATATTCTGCATTTTCCTTTTTGCAGATTATCCATGACTTCAGTGAGATTGATGTAGATATCTACATTGCTTGTTGTCAAGGTAAGTGAACCCACTTTTCCTGTAGCCTGCACTGCATGAAAAGTCTCCACTGTGGTAGTAAATTGTATGTAAAATGTTTTTTCCTCAGCCCCTGTGGTGGAACAATTAGAGCTTGGTGACTTCTTCTCTGAGACGATTACAAAGAGAAGTCTTTTTGTCTCTGTTCATGATGCTGTGCTCTACTGTCTGAACCACCGCGGAGCCACATCTATCCCCAGATACGAGCCATCAGTGGTGAGTATGTGCAGCCGATGTCCAGGTGGACGTGCAAGGTTGATACTTAACATTTTGATTAAACTAAACTGCTTTCTGATTGATTTCAGGATACATACGATGGCACAAAACTTTAAGGGCTTTTAACCAGAGGACATCCAGCGCTGAAGATGGAAAGAAATGTCTCAACGTGGGGGGGCAGTCAAAATCTTTTATGGAATTGTATTTATAAAGTAATGATGGACAATTGTTGTGTTATATTTATACATCTTATCTTTCAAGTAGGAAAACTGATGACACATGATCTTTTATTGAGTTTTTATTCAATGTGGAAGAGAGATAGAGTGCATTGTAGAGAAAAAATAAATAAAATCCATGAAACACCCAAACGATACCTTTGAAGAAGAATTTGGTAGAAAATAACGAGGAATCCAAAGAACAAACATAGACAACATGCATCACGGTGACAGTGAGTCAGCCTTTTTTGGTAATGGCAGCAATAACAACGTAGGACATTGAAATGTTTACAGTAGCCATTTCAATTTTCAAGTGCAATTTCTGCTCATAGCAACAGCTAAATCTGTGGAGCTAATGCATGCAAAGGGAATTTTTTTTGTCCTAACTCTTTTAAAGAGTTTCTAATACAACATTCCTAAAATGGTAAATTATGAGGGATTAAAAAATAACAGGATAACAATATCTGAGCAATACTTAACAAAAGCATCTCTTTACAGTTGCATAAACCCACTGTGACCTCATTCCCTGAATAAAACTTGTCTCCACATACTGGCCACAGAGGATGTTGCCAAAGACTTTGTGCACATGACTGAGGAAGGCTAGGTAGGTTTTCTTTTTCATTTTGGTTTATGAGCTACAAGTCTTGATGGATATCAGAACTCTGCGTGTCCTGGTTTAGAGTCAGAGCTTCATCATCATCGTCCTCTGGCTGCTGTGAAACCAGCTGCTGGTAGCGAGCCTGCCGCTGGTAATCCGGGTCGATGTTGATCCATTTATTTGCAACCCACTTAGTGCCCTGGGTGACCATGCACCCTCCATGCAGAGCGTATTCATCCTGCTCTCCTACCCAACCTTTTGAGAGAGAAAAAATAATAATTTAACTCAACAAGCCATTCAGATTTCGCTCCGCTCCCCCCACAAGTTATGAACCTGAAAATGAGCATGATAAATCCTTTAATGTTGATGAGCATGATTTTATCATGTCTGTTTTTTAGGGCTCACACTGATGTTCTGGTTACAAAACTGCTTTGTCATGATAGGTTGACAAAGATAATGAAATTTTATTCTTGTAGCTAACACCTGAGTTTATTAGTTTTACTAGAAATCAACCATAGTGCACTCAGACTTTGTATTCTTACAGTTTGTAGCTGTCTTTCTAGATAACCTTTAATCTTTACAACACCAATTTTTTATCTGAACACTTTGACTCCAGTTAATATGTTTACTCTAATTTTGTGCCACCAAATTGTGATACTTACATGTGAATTGCCAAGATGTATGACATTTAAAATACAGTTTTAGGATTTACTGTAGGCTGGCCAATCGTTTTGACTAAATATCTCTGCAACTATTGGATTGAGTGTGACAACACTTTGATGACCCTCAGGCCTTTTTATCTGGTGTAATGATCAGGTCAGAGTTTTCAATTAATCAGTGACATAAACAGAAATTCATGTTTTCTAGACAGTGTATCCTAATGAATTTGGTGATCCTCTGACTTGTAATCTAGTGCTACAATGAGGCTAATGTGTCAAATTCAAATGACTGAATCAGCTGTATTGTGTGTTTAGTGCTAAATGGCTAATGCTAACACGTTTGGATTGTCCTGATGAACGTTAGCATAGAGACATTAGCATTTACCTAGCATTTAACATTTGAAGAGCTGCGATCTGAGCTGAGGACTGAAAGTCTTGTTTACTTTTCAATAATATTGTGTAAGGTTTTGAAAACTATTTGTCAACAGACTTTACCTTTTGATATTTGCGCTGGCATGTGTATACTGGAAAATTGTTAATTTAAAATAAAATTCTAAATGTGCTCTTAAATTGATTGAAATGAGTGTTTGCTGATTAGCATCTTTATTGCCACATAATGTTAAAAAGTGTGATTTTTAATGGGAATCCTACCTTTTCCATCCGAAAGATAGTTGTACCAGAAAACAGCTGTCCCTTTGGAAGGTTTCACCCTCAGGTTACTCTTGTCACAATTCCTTCTGGTGTCCAAAAGGTCCACATCATTCTGTATGAGGGACTAAAATACACACTAAACTCAGTGACACAGTTTTCTGAACGTCCAAGCCTTGCACTCACTGCCAAACATGTGAGTTAACACAGATATGAAAGACATGCACAGTATGTACACAATACTTTTCCAAGGCTCTCCCTACACATTTCAAGGCCCACACACAATTACCCACCACTTCATCATAGGTCCTGTTGTCTGCCACAGGGAATGCGGTCTCCCCGCCCCCCTCAACAGAGTTCAGGTAGAAGAGAACTGTGATGTACCTAGGTGTGCAACACAGATTTAAATTGACACACACACATTTGGTGCAAACAAACAAACACATACTGTACAAACACTTTGTAAGCAGTAGACGAGCACACACATTTTTCCCAAGTTAAATCCCACAAACTACCATGCAGGCTTTCAACATGGAGTTTAGTAATCACACTGCACAGATTAATTCAGATCTGGTTGGCCTACACACTGTTGTCTCACCTGCAAGACGTCTCGAAAGGAGTGGAGATGTTGGCCGCGAGACGTGTGTGCGTGCAGGCAGTTTCAGGATACACAGGGCCGCTGTCATGGTGGGCATGGTAGTGTCCTCCCTGCTCATACCGAACCACCTGTAGCGGCTCACTGAGGTCCACTAATGAGGGAGGGAGCCGAGTGAGGCGAGTCACCCTGTGTTAGAGAAAGGTGAAGAAAAAATATGTTAAAATTGTTATTTGTGATAACCCAGTTATTACAGGAATAGACTTGCTTACTTTGTCTTGATGTCTTGGAGGACCTGGTGTGCTCCTTTGCCCTGATACAGCCACGTGTGTCTGCTGTTCCTCACCAGCTGACTCCTCTTCACCCCTCGCTGCAGCAGGAAGCGCTGGAAGGCATCGTTGCTCAGAAGCCTGAACTCTTCTAGACTCAGCAAACCTGTCCAGGATATGTGAATGCACATATCAACCTGATGCCTTGGGTACGTTTTAATTTCATGCATCATTGACACTTAGCGTTGAAAATCCTGGGAATATTCAAAGTGGAAACTTCAATTTGTATTCACTGGAATAAATGGAAATATAGGGTTATTTGCTGAGGCTCTTTCTGTTAGGTCAAATGCAGATAAAACAAACCTTTAATCAAATCATTAGTATAATAATCCTTATAATAGAAATTAAAACAATAATATTGTTGAATTCTATTTAAATAAGTTGACTAATTTAACAATGAGGTAAAAAAGAAATCTAAAACTAATATGGAAATAGATATATTTCTGTAAAACAAGTGCAGTTTCTTTGCCCAATTTTTACCATCGCCATCCTTGTCAGCTTTGAGACCAGTATAGATTTCTCGCAGATTCTCCGGTGTGAGCCAGATGCCGTCCCTTACTCGAGAATGGGTCAGTATCTGTTGGAGGCATGATAGTGAAGACAGGATGAGTTAACTCTGAACCAAAAACTAGTGCATGTCATACATTAATACAGAACATGCCCACGATCCACAAACAGACATACACCTCATGAAGCTGCAACTGTCCATCTTGGTTGATATCAAGAAGGTTGAAGATCTCGTCTGGACTGAGGTTGAGCTCCTTAGCCAGCTCTTCCTGACCCTCCTGCACCATCAGTTGACTCTCCATTAGACCCTTTAGCTGTGCAAGCTGCATCACAACACGGCACTCATCATCCGACAAAAACCCAGGGATCTCTGCAGACAAACACAGAGACAAATAAAGTTACACACAGACTACTCTTGGGTTAAAAAAAGATAAAACATCATTGCTTTTATAAAGTAGTATTCAAAACCTTTCTCCACTTGAAGGATTTGCTAATTAGTCACCTTTAAAATATTTTTTTAAACCTGTCCTTTGTGACATTTCTTGTTTCGTTTAAGGGTTTATTCGAGAAAATAATCAGCATTTAATTGACACTCAAAATGATAGTTTATTTTATTAAAAACAATGCAGACCCATGATGCCTGGCGTAAACAATAACACAAACATTAGAACAGTTATATAACCCTACTGTATAGTTGATCTATGTTTGTTATACCACTACATGCCACTAATAAAGAGAACAAAAAATGTAAATAAAAACAGTTGAGTATACTAAATGTTTTTACTTAAAAACGTTTGTGCCATCTTTACTTCAGCACATCTAAAAACTTAATTTGTATGTTTTATATTGTTAGTTTATATCTGTCAGCTATAAGCCCTTAATTGCAGTAGTTGCCTCAGGACCTAATTGACATATGTTATATTGCATATGACCTCAGCATGCACATAACTGTTAATAGGTTATGTGTTTGGGGGTGGAGAGTGTTATGAATGCATGTTTGATTTGAGGAGAAGAAAAATAAGCCTCTTTTGCCACTGAAGCTTTATATATAGGCCTACCTCTATGCAATGAAGGCTCATGTGGGTGTGCTGCAAATTTGTTTTGATACACGGGTGCTTTGTTTCTTACCAAAAAGCAGAGGTTTCATACTCAAAGTCCTCATTTCATGCACTTTGTTTTGCATCAGTGACACCTTTTGGACGTGTCCCACCTGAGAGATAGATCAGAGAAGTGATGTAGTGCTGCTACAGTGTTTAAGAGAGAAACACACAGATGAAAGAGTGGGATTGATGCAAACATGTTCACATTACTCACCCTAATCCCCTCGATCCTTGTCAGAGAACTGACGCGCAGAAACTCGGGCTTTGATGGCGGACGTGGCGACTCGGGCTGCTGCTGGTTGCTGCTCGGAGCATCACGACCCTGGCTGGTATCTTCCTGCCCGCTATTGTAGTGCACGTAAAACAGCAGTGCAATAACATTGATGATGTATACATGAAAAAACACCATCACTACTACGAAGTAGGAGCGGGAGCACACGCCGGTCTTGTTGCAAGTGGGGCGGTCGGAGTGCGGCCGGAGCGGCAAGGTCGCGCTCTCGGACGGTGTCGTGTCCTCAGCATCTGATGCTTCCTGGTTGTCGCTCATTTTCCCGAAATTCAAGGAGACGATACTTCCCCAGCAGCAAAATACATGCAACTACTCAAACGATGTAATGAGCATCTGGTTGTTTCTTAAAGGTAGCAGATGTGCAGACTGACAGTTTGATTAAAAAAAGAAAGCCAGTTCCTCCGCTGCACTGAAAAAAAACATGGAGCATTCATGACAATACACGTTCTCGTTTAAGATGAAGAGTCCACTATCATTGGCTATGTGTCGTTGTGCTTTTGGTCCACAGACAGCAGCAGGCTCGAACAGTGTTGTTTACTCTGCAGCAGTCCCAGTCAGCAGCGGGAGCAAAGCGCACTGCGCATCCAAAAACACAGCGGAGCGCTTCTCATAAACCTGATCCAGCATCAACAGAGTACGATGATTACCCTTTAAGATAAAAATAAACACGACCTGTGAACATAAACTACAAAACACCACGGCTGTGCAGCATATTCTACTATTTACGACCGAGCTCCGTTGTTCACATCAACAGTCTGCCGACTGTGCAATACTGACCTCTGGTGAACTAAACAAATAATACACCACCTCTCTACTCTCTCTCATACATTTTGAATCTCTAGAAACAAAATATGATATATTGTAACAATATAGATCCAATTTGTAAGGAAACCATGTTAGTTCACACAGTTACACATTTAGCAATAATGATTCATTTCTTCTTTTTATTATCTTTTATTGTGTTTTAACTTGTTGTTGTATTCTTTTTTAATTTTGCATTAACTACTGTGGTTTGCCCTAGGGGCATGTTAGAGAAAGGATTACAAAAACAAACTTTTGATCATATTTCCGAAATATGTAGCAAATATGGACAAAAATAGTTGTCACTTCCGGTGACCATCTTAGTTTCGCTCAAAGTGTGCAACTTCCGAGTGTCCTAGACAGCCAGTGAAAGAGCTTCAACGATGCCGACATATCTGTTAAACCCGAGAGATTCCGGTACCGGGGCCCTCCCTCAACATCTTGCAGGAAACAGTGGCATCTTAACATTGAATAAACTATGAATGTTTTATATCCATGTAACGGGAAGAAACTCATTTAACTGATCATTTTAAAAAAATGTTCTCCAAAAAAACCCCCACAATGCTAACGCTGAGCCTCTAAATTAGCAACGAGTTAAAAATGCTAACAGATTACTGCACCGAAACTCACTCATAAAACCTTATTATTTATCCTTTCTGCACATCGAACCCATCGTGAGATGACACAGAATCGATGGGTACAGACATTATCACTCCATGATTAGAACTCGCGATTTTATAAACAAAAACAGACATCAAAACATGTGGCGCTAGGTAGCTAAAAACGCTAACATGGTTTACCTGTGTCGTTGTCTGGTCAAAAGTGGTCTTCAATGGCATTAAAACGATAAAAACGCTGCTGAAGTTAATCCATAGGTTAATCCAATGTGTCTTGGTCCCTTTGAAATGATTTCTGATAATCCATAGCAATAAACCTGCTTTTTCCGTTTCCAGATGTCACTGATGCAAACCTGAAAGCGCAAAGCTATGGAAGCAAACAAGAGACAGAAGTATTCGAATTGTATTAGACACCGAATTTATAGCATTGAAAATAATTACTTTGAAAATCATGAATCTGAATTTTTTTTGCTCCGAATTTATCTATGTGAAATAAAAATGTGAAAATTCAAGTTAAAAAAATTCGAATGTTCAAATTCAGATCCCAAAAATTCAAGTGAAAAAAATTCGACGTCAAATATTTTGGTGTTTAAAATTCGATGTCAAAAAATTCGGTGTGTAAAATTCGACGTCAAAAATTGCGATGCAGCCTCATCCGGGCTACTCAGACAGGATAAGCAATCGAGCCCTAATGCAATCAAACCGATTTATGGCCTATCAGAGCCAAGCGGCAAACCCCGGGACAGTGCGGTGAAGCCCAATGCTGCAAACTATAGGCGATGGATGCAGATGGGAGCAATTCACGTAGACCCTTTGTTAAAATGTCCAACTTAACATCAGAAAATGAACATGTTTCTAGCCTGGATCTACAAAAACATATTCTGTATATAGTTAGATTCCCCCTTCATGACAACGGGACTGCTGCTCCTAGCTCCTCTGTCTCACGGTTAGCTCCGTGATGCTACAGCGGCTCAGCGCATGAGGAGAACACTACTTGAACTCGGCCGTGTTTGTTGTGTTGGCTCCTGGTGGACTATTCGTCCTGCAAATATAGGATTTATCTGCGGTTGAAACAGACCGTCCATGAATGCATTTTCTTCGGTAAGTCAACCCTGCGTACTTTATGTTATGTTACTGGTGTTTTTATTAAGCTAACGTTAATGAATGTTTAGAGTTGGGTTAGCATTTGAGCAATCGTAGCTCCATCTGTGCTAACGATGCTATGCGTAGCATCCAAGAGTGTAAAACATTAAGTGGGATGCTACTGTATACCAAAAGGCTTCTGTGCGAGGTTGCTAAAATAAGGTCATCCTTGTACGTTAGATAGTTAGTTTGCTATTTAGGTTACTGTATGCATTGTTAAGGTTCATTTAAATTCGCTATGCTCTACTATAGCATACAATAGACTAGCTAACTTCAACGTATTGTTGAAGAGAGGCTTAGTGTATATTAAATCAACCTCACAATGAAATGTGTGTATCTTTAAAATATGAACGTCACATTTCAAGATGGTCCAGAAATAACGCTCCCTTAGATATTGTAATATGGTTTGTTGAACTGGAGTTATTTATTGCAGCTAACCGCCTATCCGACGAACGACCCAAACATTGTTGTTTTTAATATTATTACCAATGCCTCTTTTAATTGTATTATCATCACACTTGAGAAACAGCCTTATCGTGGCTGTACAACGGAACATGTAACTTAATTCCTGCATTTAAGGACGATGAATAGCGTAGTCAATGCTTTAGTGACAAGGAAATGATTTGTTTAAATATTATATATGACGTTATCTGTGACTTCAGTGGAAATTAAGCTTATCCATTGCATTGCATTTGTTCAATAGGTTTGTGTCTTACCCTTACGTGTGTGATGCATATGAATATGGCATTTGAAAACAAATTAATTTGACTGACTCATGAAAACCTCATCCAAAGTAACAGTAAAATAAAAAGGACCTACACAATAATACTCAATCAAACTGATACAGTATAAGGACTGTGATATCCAGCAATTTCTGAAGTATAACAATAAGATTATGACCTGTTTTTAAAAGAAGATAAAAAGTAGTTTGCATGTAAAGAAGTCTTTAACCCACGCATGTAACTTTACATCTGTTTGTTCAAAGTGTCCTTAAGGTGATCCAGACAGGCTGGACCAGAGGAGGAGAGACAGATCTGGACTCCTAGCAGCAGAGAACTTCAGCACGGATTCCAAGGTACACCTTTTTCATGCTTTACAAAGAATGCATAAAGTAATGACTCTAATACACTGATATACATGCCATTAAACATGACTGAGTGAATACTAGATCACCCACACATCAGTGATGTTGAGTGGACTTTCTTAGCAAAAGGTTACATTTACATTTTACCAAGCAACATCACTTTTTTGTTCAACTTTCACATTTCAATGTATTTAAAGATCAAATGCAAAGCTTCCAAATATGCTACATTTTTATAGAAATGTTGTTTTTAAGACTGCCTGTATTTAAAAAAAAATTTAAATCGAGATAATACACCCGAAAAAAAGCTTTTTATTGATACAAAACTTGACCCAAAGCCGTCTGAATTTCTGACATGACCTTCCCAGCAGCCTCCGCGCGCGTGACGTCATACATGCCAAACAGTCTCTGGACCAAACATCCCGACTCGGCAGTCTCGGTCACAAGTTTTTCGACAAGAAAACTGAATTAACATGGGTTATTGTTGTGCTTTTTGTTGTACGAACGGTGCGGGATCTGGGAGAGTTTTTCATGTATTTCCCAAAGACCAAATCATCCGCAAAAAATGGATTTAGTTAGTGAATCGTGTTGGATGGCAACCGACAAAATGGAGCAGGTTGTGTTCTGATCACTTCGCGTGTGATGCATACGAGGTTGATCCTGCTATCATCAAGTCTGTTGGTGCAGAAGCATAAATAGCACGTCGGAGGCTGAAACCCGGAGCCGTCCCCTCCATATTTCAGCACAAGAAACCACTGAAAGAACGAAAGAGCCGGGCGATGCAGAAACGACAAAGAATTGAGGTAAACAACTTTTGATTAGATTTCAAAGCGCACGGAGCACAGCAGATAACGCAGATAACGGAATTGCAGTTGTATTAAGTTTTATTGCTTATAGAGGTGGGCACCGTTAGATTATGTGTCTTTACGATCATAAACAATGTGTTGGATGTGGAGCTAGGATAAGTAATAAGGGAACTAGGAGTGATTTTCGGTGCAGTAAAAGGTTAGCATTTTTCGCTCGGGGCTAATTCACTGTTAGCATTGTAGTTTGTCCGCAGCTCATTCATCGCTCCTCCACTCATAACGGAAAAGTGTGAACAATATGCATTATGATAGGGATTAAATCCACTATTATTCCTCCTGCCACAATTAAAAATGCCCCCCGTGCAATTAAAAGTGACTGTGAGCACTTAGAAAACCCAACATTCTTCTAATCACTTCATTAGGCCATTGCATCAAAAAAGCCCTCGAACTTGGCGAACTTTAATCATCACCATCAGCACTTTCATCGGTGATATCAGGTGACGTTTCCTTGTATTTCCTCTTCGACATCAGAGGCTCGTAGAGATAGGGTTGGATGTCGACAACATACTCCAGATATTGGGTGGCCTCCAACTCAGAATCAGACATGATAAGCCGGGTGGAAATATGTTAGGCATTGAACAAATTCCCATCCACCTCGTCCTTGTGAGGTGAGTCCGCCTGGACTTTATTTTTCTAATCCTCTCTAAAAAGGTCAAATTTCACTTGTTTTGCATCAATCTTGATACAGGGTACTTATTATATGTTATAGTTTGGATTCCTAAAGCTTTTAGTCTATAGTCTACTCAGAATCAGACATGATAGACGAAACTAGTTGTACTATCGGCGGAAGCCGCTGTGATTGATAAGCCAGGTGGAAATATGTTTGGCACATCTGACGTCACACGCCGCCATCTTGCGGAGGAGCGGCGGAGAAAATAAATCGTCAGACTTGGTGTTGGGGGTTGAACAAAATTAATATCGCGCATTGCCAGACTCATATTATCTCCGATTTTAATACTGCAATATCTTAGATAGTGTTGTAGCTATATGATTTCGATTGTACTGGCAATTATACAAAAAGCTTTGCATTTGATCTTTAAGGCAAATATTATTGAACATAGTGAGAGCTGCGACCCTTTGTCTTTCAGTGAGACAACCGGACAGAGCAAGCTTCTACAGTTGCACTAAGTTTTGATAACAGTTAAATATTATTTTAATAATACATTTATTTCAATGTTGATGAATTTAAAACGGTTTATTCATAATCTGATTATCTTTGCAGTACACTGTT